GTGACATACCGCGAAATTCAGGCAACTTTAGACATTGGCATGAGTCAAATACAAATAATCTTGCATGAACAATTAGGTGTAAAAAAGTTGTTTTCCCGATGGATACCGCATTCGCTCTGTGAAGAGCAAAAAGCGGCTCGCGTTACTTGGTGCGTCAGAACTCTCGAAAGATTCCACGCAGGATCCTCAAATGCTGTATACAACATCGTATCAGGTGACGAATCCTGGATATACGCGTACGAACCCGAAACAAAAAACCAGTCACGAGTTTGGGTGTTCGAAAATGAGTTAAAGCCGACAAAAATTGTTCGTTCACGGAGTGTTGCAAAAAAATGGTGGCCACGTTTGTCTCCAAAACCCATGTTACGACTATTCCTCTTGAGGGACAAAGAACGGTTAATGCAGAATGGTATGCTAGTATTTGTTTGCCACAGGTCGTTTCTGAACTCCGTAAAGAGAACTGCAACCGCCGCATCATCCTCCATCACGACAATGAGTTCTCACCCCGCACACAGAACAAAAGAGTTTTTAGAGCAAGAAAACATAGAATTATTAGACCATCCGCCGTACAGCCCCGACCTAAGCCCTAATGATTTCTATACTTTCCCTAAAATAAAAAATAAATTGCTTGGACAGAGATTTTCATCACCTGAAGAAGCTGTGGACGCCTACAAAACGGCCATTTTGGAGACCCCAACTTCCGAATGGAATGGTTGCTTCAATGATTGGTTCCATCGTATGGAAAAATGTGTCAAATTTCGCGGAGAATACTTCGAAAAGCAATAAATACATTTTTAAATAGTAATGTTGTGTCACTTCCTTGATTCCCGAAATTTTCAGTGCCGCCCTCGTAAACTACATTTCCATATTTCTGTCAGTATTTTGTTGTCTCTGCCAGTTTGTTAAATAAATAAGAAATTATTATAAAATACACATTATTAATCAGCTCAAGACGACCAAATACATAAGTAGTAATTATGGATTTACATCAATAATATTTAACTATGTAAAAGTTGTCTGACTTCTTATTTTCACTGGCTTCATGTAGGGGGACAGAATATTATTTTTATATTAACTATCTGATAGTAGATTACAAAATAATATCCCTTTGTGCAGAATTAACAACAAGGATATAACCATTACATGAGTAAAAATGGCTTAACTAAATTACAATACTTATGCAAACTGTATACTTGCTTCTAGTACAAGTAATTACTACTTATTTTTACACATAATTTTCTTTTAACAAACTCAAAAACTTATTTTCATGTATTTATTCTATCTATTATTTAATTTATATTTTACTAATAACATAACACTTTAATACTTTGTCACGTTTAACAAGGTTCTAAGACCTGTGTTTGTCATTTTCTTAGGTAATTCATCAAGGTGTAAAACTAAACTTTTGTATTACATACATACTAACTAAACTCATTAACCTGAATGATAGTCTCCATATTATGTTAAACACTTGTGCATCGATCAGACGATATTTATTTTATTGTCTTGTAAACAACAAGTATAAACTTTTTTGCTATTAACTAATTTTGCTACCAAAAATTATTTTAACATATATATTAACAATTACAGTTACTCACAGATTATATTCTTACAGTAGTGATGTAACTCGAACTCTGTTTTCACTCGATGCCATCGAGTGAATTTGTGTAGCTCGGTACTCGAGTGAAAATAAATTTTACTCGAGTCCGCTTGCACTCGAGTTACCGAGTCAACTCGACGCACCGTGTCGATTCGGAGAGCACTAGATATAGATGTCAGTTCACTAATCCACTAATTCTATCATCTAATCAACTAATTCACATAGTATAAGGCGCCGCGGGTGACGTCACTGGTTACATCGAAATTCAAACTTGCATCTTGGCATGTTGTAAACAAATATGAACTTAGTTTGATTTATAATATCATGATTGTGCTATCATTGTTGTTTATTTTTTTTTTACTTCGTATAAGTAGTGCATAACATAAAAGATGATTTAAACATACTTATTTGTTTAAAGTATCAGTGATAACAGTAAAGTTAAAAGTAAAGTTGCAGCCTATTTACGTCCCACTGCTGGCCGAGGCCTCCTCTCATATCTGAGAGGGTTTTAGGGCAAGGAAATGTCTGCCGCGCTGCCCCAATGCGTATTGGCAAACTTCACATGTCTTAGAAATATTTTTTTTTCTTATATTTCAGACATGCGGATTTCCTCACGATGTTTTCCTTCACCGCCGAGCACGTAGTAAATCAGCACTTAAAATTGTGCCGGCGGGGATCTAACCCGGATTGCTCGAGCACTGTGAAGCTTACAACGAGCACTAACCATCTGAGCTACCACGGCTTCAGTCAGTGATAACAATGACGCAACAAAGCAAAAATCGTCAGTGTGGCATTATTTAAAAAAATCGAGATGAAAGCCATTTGTATTTTGTAATATATGTAAAAAGCAGTTTATAGATTTTGAAATACTACAGATATGAAAAAGAAGCATGGAAATACTACTGTTCGTTCTAACGCAAACGCAAACTTGTTATTTTAAAGTCAGTCGCAATTAAAGAATCAAAGTGCAAAGACGTAGTGGTTTTCTTTTACACGTGATACAAACAAAAGTGCACCTTAATTACATCAACATATGGTCGCAATCGAGCCGGACCGATCAGCAAAAAAGATTTGAGTGCAGGAGCAGGTAAAAATTCCGGCCGACCGCGTGAACAATAGATCTCGAGCGTTTCAACTCGTAAACAAGTGACGTAACGCAGCTAACACATAATTCTCGACTTTTTAATAATTGGATTAAATCATGGGTTCTTCGGCGGAATTACTTAGTGTTTTAGAAGATACTGCTGCATTACTTAAGAAAACATAAACCAACTTGAGGAAATGTCCAAAGACGCGTCTTACAAAAGGATATATTGAAACTAGGTTAAAAACTATAGACGATTATTGGAATACATTTAAGCAGGCGCTTCAAGAGTTTTTAAAGATTACGCCGAAGGAAAAAGGGGAGTTTTACCTTATTTTCTCAATGAAGAGTTTTTCATATATGAACATTTATACATCGTTTTACAAGCTGATTTACGTGATATGTTAACTTCCGTAAATTCGCCAACAACATTGGCTAATACCTCTTCATCCGAGCATAATATGGAACAAATAAAAAAGGAAAATTCTCTCTTAAAGCTGCCGAGAATTCAATTACCGACATTTAGTGGTAATTATGAAGAATGGCCGACCTTTGAAGATTTGTTTACCTCACTTATACATAACAATAAGACGATCGAAGGCGCACAAAAATTACATTATTTAAAATCGAGTGTAAATGGTGAAGCAGCTTCATTAATCCGACATATTCAAGTTACTCACAAAAATTATACGCAGGCTTGGGAGGCGTTAAAAACAAGATACGATAGTAAACGCTTAATTGTTAACTCAGTGCTAAAAAGATTGTTTCTTCAAAAGAAAATTAACTCTCAATCAGCAAATCAATTAAAATGTTTATTAGACACAACGATAGTGTTTAAATAATTTAAAGAACTTGTCTATTAGTGTTGGTTCTTGGGATCTTATTATAATTTTTCTCGTTGTGCAGAAAATGCACCAGGAGTCTCATAAAGAATGGGAAGAATATGCCTATAAAAGTGAGTCTGAAGATTTACCGACGTGGAGCGACTTAATAAAATTTCTTCAATAAAGATATCGAACTTTAGAACTTATTTCATCAGGCCCACGAGAAAAGACCATTAAAGAGCGATCTTTCCACGTTAGCACCGCTTCATCAGACAAATCTATTGAATCGTCAACGTCAGCTCTGCCGCGGTCGTCGGAAAAGAAATGTATTATGTGCAAGGATAACCACACGTTATGTCATTGCAAAGAATTTACCAACCTGCTACCTTCACGACGAGCGGATTATGTGAAAAAACACAATTTATGCTTCAACTGTTTAGTAACGCGACATGCGGCTCATAAATGTCGTCGTATATGCAATAGACGTCATAATTCTCTTCTACACCTAGCTGAAAGGAAAGAAATCAATACTACCACATATTGCAACTTAGAAGAGAGGGAAGACATTCAAGTCAATTCAATGATAGCGTCACATCACACTACCAAGCAAGGCATTGCATTATTAGCAACTGCTAGGGTGAGCGTTCGAAGTGAGCAAAATTACACCATGGTGTTACGAGCGCTCATAGACCAAGGATCGCAGGCATCATTTATAAGCGAAAGAGCGGCTCAAAGATTAAGGCTTAACAAACAATCTGCAAGAGGAACTGTCGTAGGTGTGGGGTCTACTACAACAAATGTAAATCACGTGGTACAATTTCAAGTAAGTTCCCAAGATACAACTGATTTCAACTTACTTGTTAAGGCGTATGTTATGTCGAAGGAACTTACCACGAAGATACCCGCTAGAATAATTGCTGCAAATCACTGGTCACATCTAGAAGGTCTGAACCTTGCCGATTGAAGCTACTATGCACCAGGTTCCATTGATTTACTTCTTGGAGTGAAGGAATACGCACAGATATTAAAACCAGATTTAATCAAGGGTCCACCGGGTACACCAAGCGCTCAGAAAACCAACCTTGGCTGGATCTTATTCGGAGAGGTCGATGATAATGCGCAGCAAGACACGTTCTTAGTCATGCACCAACAAGTAGAAATAGATGAAGTTTTAAAATCAATATGGGAAGTAGATACAGATACAAAAAGAAGATTGACTAGAGAAGAACAATTATGTGAAAAGATATACGCGAGAACACACAAAAGGACCGAAGAAGGGAGATATATATAGTGAAGTTGCCGTTTAAAGGTAAGCGTCCCAACTATCGGCATCGCACGCATCGCATCAAACGGACCAGTTATGTACTATGCGTCCACTGTATCGGCACCGATCGCATTTTCTGACGCAACCTCTAGTAATCGGATTGCCGACGTCATTTTCATACGGATTTTAGTGGCGAGTGAAACGTGTTGACGTGTTGTTTGTGAGATAATGGAAGAAAACGAAGAAGAAACTATCGTAATTGCTTGTTTGTTAGCTGAAGAAGAGGAAGAAAAAGCTAAGAACTCTAGAAAAAGGAAACATAATATCTGGGTACACGATATTTTCAGGAAAAGATCGCAACATGGAGAATATCACACACTGTTTCCTGATTTGCTAAACGATGATGCCAAATTCTTCCAATATTTTCGCATGACTCAAGTTAAATTTAATACTCTTGTTGACATCCTGAAACCATATTTATTAAGACAGAATACAGCATACACGGAGGCTATACGACCAGAAGAAAGGCTTGCTGTGTGTGTAAGGTAATTATTTATTAAAATTAAACATCGGTTACATATAGGTAGTTACTTATTTAGGTAGGCACTTATTTAAGACGTAAATATTGGCCGAGTGTCACATTATTTTTATCTTCTAAAATGGATTGGCTAGTGTCAGGTGGAGACATCATTGGCCTTTCGTTGGGTGTAGATGACCGAGAATAACAGTGGTAGAGCTAAGCGGTAGCTTTTTTTTAGTTGATGCAAATTATAAATTCATAGTAGTAGATGTCGGTTCTTTTGGTAAGAACTCTGGTGCTAGTATTTTGAGAAATTCGAGTTTAGGCAAAGGTTTACAGGACGGCAATTTAAACATACCTCCGCATATGATCCCACCAGGACGCACTGAACTTTTACCTCACGTCATCGTCGGTGATGAGGCTTTTCTATTATGCACGTATTTAATGCGACCATATTCTCGCGACGATGTCTAAAGAGATGAAGAAAAAAAAGTATTTAACTACAGGCTCAGTCGTGCGAGAAATACTGTAGAAAATACGTTTGGGATATTGGCAAGAAAATTTAGAATTTTTGAACGAAGATTGTCTATGCACGAAGAACATATTGTGACTGTTGTAATGGCTACATGCTGTTTGCACAACTTTCTAAGAGATGACACATGCTACTGGACAGAAAATGATTTAAACATTTCTCTTGAGGAAATGTCAGGGCTACAAAACCTACGAAACATAAGTGGTAATTCACGCACAGATGCTTTAACAGTCAGGGATAACTTAAAAAATTACTTCAACTCAGAAGTAGGGTCGGTTGAATGGCAATTAAGAAGAGTTCGGAGTGGAAGGCACGAAAATGTATAACAAGCAAAATAAACATAACCTACAAACTTACCGCTTCGTCCAATTTCTTCCCAGATATTGTACCTCCTTTGTTGGTTAGAATAAAAAGGGTGTCTTTATATAACTCTTCATAGTCTTGCACGACTGCAATTAGTTGTGCGGCGTCCATGATGCAACAACGTATGGATGCGACGATCATCAAATGCAAATAGCGGGCGACCGGCGACGCGGAGCGAGCGCGCGCGCTGTGCGTCCACTGATAGACATTCCGTATGACGTCATCGGCACGCATCGCAAAAGTTGCCCCTCGGAGCATGAGCGTCGGTATTGCCGATAAACAGATCTATGCGATCCGTACGATGCGGATTGGTGGACGTACTTGTATGACTTTCTATACAAAGAATACTACCATCCGTATGATGCGATGCGTGCGATGCGTGCGATGCCGATAGGTGGACGCTTGCCTTAATACTGACAGACCGAGATGTACAGAAGGAAATACAAGGGATATAGCACAGAAAAGATTACTACAACTAGAGAGACGATTGAAGAAAATGCCTAAACTAAAAGAAGACTACACTAATGTAATAAAAGTATATCTGCGTTTACAACATATGGAAGAAGTACCTGAGAAAGAAAACGAAAAATGTGTATAGTTACCTCATCACGCGGTTCATCGCGAAGATAAAGAATCCACGAAAACAAGATTGGTGTTTGATGCTTCCTGCAAGGGGTCGAATAATGTCTGTTTGGACGATAAACTTCTCGTAGGTCCTCCACTGCAAGAACATCTTCGTAACCTAATAATAAGATGGAGAATGAAAGGTGTATGTTACATGAGCGATATACAGAAGATGTACCGTCAAATATTGGTGTTCCCCGAAGATGCTGATACTTACCAACGAATCCTTTGGCGCTCAGACGCATCCGAAGATATCAAGAAGTATAGAATTTTTCGTTTCACTTTCGGTACAGCATCTGCTCCCTACCTTGCGGTTCGAACGCTTCATAAAATCCCTGATGATGAAGGCAAGAATCATCCCAAAGCAGCTTAAATAATTAAAGAAGATTTCTATATGGACAACTTAATGGGTGGAGCCGATACTGTGGAAGAAGCTGTAACTGAAGCCAAAGTTGATGAGATTGTAAAGAAGGGAGGTTTCAGCCATCAAACCAGCAGATCGATCTAGCAGTGCACATTTTAACCTCAACATTGATGGAACCGTAAAAGCCTTGGGTTTTAAATGGAATATGGGTACAGATAAATTTAAATATGAAGTTATCTTACCACCCATTCAAGCAACTGTCACCAAGAGAAGTGTTTTGTCTGACATACAGAAACTCTCTAACTCCGCTTGGTTGGATAGCGCCAAGCATTGTTATGACGAAGATTCTTATTCAAAAATTGTGGCTAGAAAAGTTGAACTGGGATGACAAAATCAGTTCACATTTGCTGGACGAATGGCTTTCTATCCGATCAGACTTCCAACCAGTCAACGTGATTGAAGTAGATAGATGGATTGGTACAACGAGCAAAATGAGCGACAACTTACAGATTCATGGCTTTTGCGATGCGTCAATGCAAGCATACGCAGCGCTTGTGTATGCTAGGATCTAAACCGAAGACGGAACAATCAGAACAAAGTTGATTGCTGCCAGAACCAGAGTTGTGCCGTTTAGAATGATCTCGCTACCTAGATTGGAATTATACGGCGTTTTGCTGCTGTCTCGTCTGCTTAAGCAAGTTTCACAAGCAATGAGAATACCATCATCACAAATATTTGTCTGGACAGACTCATCGATTGTTCTTGCTTGGCTCGCAGGAGATCCACATAAATGAAAACTGTTTGTAGCGAACCGCGTCGTCGAAATAGTAGAGAGTGTACACTGCAATAGATGGCATGGTGGACAGGACCAACACGGTTACTAGAAAGGGAAATCCAATTTTCTAACAACCAAACGAAAGAAACTGATTTAGAATTGAAAAGACCTAAAATACAAGTTAACATTAACATTAGTAAAGGCGAAGAAGAAAAAACAAAACAAAAGAAATTAGTTGTTCTATACAACTAGAAAATTTTGGGACACTACAGGAAATGCTTAAGATAATCACATATTGCCGTAGATTTTTAATTTACAAGAAAAATTCAAATAAAATTCCAGAACCACTAAAAACAGAAGATTTAGACAGATCATTGAAAGCATGCATAAAGCCGGTTGCAGACCGCAAACTAAGCTATGCCAAGCGAGCTAGGCTAAGCTAAGCTAGAAATAAATAGTGTGCATACCAACAGCTAAGCCAAAGCTCAGTCAGTGTTGCGTAGTTCAATTAGATGGACGTCGCTCGCTATGAATATAATCGATGAAGAAAGCTCCGATGATGAATACGTTACACATAGAAAAAGAAGATTAAGGCCGGGACTCCACCAAAGCAGAGATGTGTGCGGTGTGCTGTGTGCTGTGCGAGAAGAGATGTTTTTCAGCTCGGGGGACTCCACCAAAGCGGAGATGTGTGTGGTGTGCTGTGTGCTGTGCGAAAAGAGATGTTTTTTAGCTCGGGTGCGAGGCGTTGCGTGCTCAGTACGCATTCTGACACGAAAGGTAGACGATGTCGTTATTATTACAAAAAACAACATACCTTTTTCAACATACCTTTTTCAACATACCTATTTTGAAAGCTATTTTTCCTGTTTTTAATTTTTGTTATACCCCTAGTAATAACAGTATTGTTGGTTATTTTCACCATTTTGGCACTTTCTTCTGTATCTGTAGTTGGATCTATCTCTAAAAATTAATATAAATATAACAGTTTTAGAAAATTAATAATATGTATAATATTTACAAACTTGTGTGCATATGATTGTAACTATAATAATAATATATTTTGCTTTTTAAGCACATATACAACATTGGGTTCTGGATTTTCTACATTTTTAACTATAGCTGTGTCTGTTTTTTTCAAAATTAAGGCGAGGCTTAGGGTCAGCAAATACTTCTTTTGATGTTGTGGTGGTGTTGACAGTCACTGGATCCTAAAATAAATCATTAAACATTTATTAACATGTTTCCCTGTCATTACCTCTATTTTGCCCTTTATTGAATCAGGTATTTTCTATGTTGTGGAAATATTATTATGATCCAAGACAAAAGGTAATTTAATAAATTATTAATTGTAATACCTAATAGACAAAAATAGAAAATTATAATCGGAATGTGTAGATAATCTAGTAACATGTGTGTTATGATATTATATAGACCACTATATATGAATTTGTGACATTTCAATTTTGAATATAATTAATTATAAAGAAATTTATGTTAAATTGTAAGTATATTAAATTTTGAATATACGGAAAATAATTTTGGATTGTAAATTGTATGCTTTAACAGTAGATTTCAGAGCACTACCTAGGTACTAAAGTAATGGAAAATAAAGTTCTTTAATTTTAATTAAATTTGTAAGACATGTAAGTAATTTTATTTACCACTGCATCACTATCATAATTATTAACTTCAACGATAAAGTCGTGAGGGGCAATGGACGTTATTTCCAAGTCCTCAAGAGAAGGTGATGGAGGTTTTCCGCCACCCCCGGTCTTTGATTGTTCCCTCTTATATGTGTATAAGTTTGATTTAGCACACAACTTCATTCTTTTCCAAGATAATTTCAATTCACCAGCTGATCGGCGTTTACCTGTTATCTCATTAAATCTAAAAAAAAAATACGAAATCACGTAAACAATACCGTACCTATTTGTACACATAACAAATGCGATAAGTACTTACTTATTAGTTATATTCTTCCACTCTTTTATTTTTTGAATATTTACCGATGTTTTTGTCGACTTATTCTCTATAATATGTGCTGATTGTGAAATAAGTGTACGTAATATTTCCTATAATAATAAGAACATTCCCTTTAGTTGAAATAAGGATAATAGGAGGATAAGAGTATTGCTACGTACTGACAAACTATACTGGAACTATGATTAATAGAAAAAGGAAACATAAATTACAACGAATGTCATATGTGTAGGACATCAAATTAAATAAATAAACTCAGTATACGACTGATGTTATATGGATAGGACATCAAAAAGTACGGTTATGTAGTTAATTAAAAAAAGAGGTTAGATCAGGTTTGTTTAGAAAACAAACGTAGTAATTGAAAAGTCATGAGAGATTTCTATGATATTCATTGATTGCTTACTTTGTTCGTCCCGCAAATTTCGGCACCTGCGTTGTTCCTCCATTTTGCAGCGAAAGTGTCAATTGAGAACTGTCAAAATACTTTTTTCAGAGTTGCGTTCAAAAACAGTGTGACCGTGCAGAAAAAAAATTAAAAAGATAATGTGTACGTCAATGAGATTTTTTTTTTAGTTGATTTCCTATGCATAACCCGCGAGGGGTAAGGAGGATATATATAGGTAATATAAAATATTTGCAATAATTAATAAACTATATATATAAATATATCTGACTAAAAAAAATTGTGCAACACTGCTATGTCTGCACCACCCGCCAGCTGGCACACACACACATTGGCGGAATGTTCACTATACAAATAGACATAGAATAAAATAAACATAAGAAAAAACTCTAAATACCTAATTAATACTTAAAATTAAAAATAATACATTATGCAAATTACAAAGAGAATTCCTGAGTGAAACTATCTTCAAGTATCAAATTTACCAGCTTAACAACTAATCTATGATAAGTATCTTAATGAATTTGACAATAAAATTTTAGTTGGTTAGTACCTATTACATACCTCAAGAAGTTAATACTAATACTAACAATAACAAACATTATTCATGTTGTATCTTAAGCAAATAGTTTACAATAATATAGTAGGTCACTGATAATACACATTAAAACAAATTAAAATAAAAAGAAAACAATGTTAGTTGAGTCTGACAGTCCTTGCAGATTTGTTAACTTAATATCAGATATAATTTGAACTATCATATGGACTATCGTGTGTAGTTCTGATAAAAACCACAAGGTAAAATAAAAAA